ATGCTGGTCGGCGGCCTATGCTCCATTGGGAGTAACAGGCGTAAGTAAGTTGTGACCATGAAAACTAAACGTGCTCTCTTTTTATTATATTTGATAGTTTCAATGAAGACGTAGGAAATGATCACAATAGGTTGTGATTAAATGCAAGCAATCCCTTGAAATTAACTGGTGGTAAATGCCCCACCCCAATAAACTAGTAAACTATACTTGGTTGGATTAAATATGTTCAAACCAACAGCTGATTAGTGTTTATGGATGCAGATCTATGTCCATTTTCTCAGGTGATCGATAAACAATGAAAAATAAAGTAATTAACCTACTATAATTTTTTGTAAATCTAGCTATGGATGTAAGTCAGTAATTTATGACATTCCAAAAGTTTCAGACAGTCAGTCATAATCGACGTCTGGCCTGACACAAGTGTACATCATTCAAATTTGCCACACCCTAAAAATATGGCGCAATGAAATTGTTGAGATCAACAGCAAAGAAGTAGAAATGATAGTAACATAAACGATAGTAAATAAAATTAAGTGTAGAGAATGTGGTTTGAAAAAAGAATGAATTTTGGAAACAAAAAGTACGAAATAATAGTGAAATGCAAAATCCAGAAGGAAGTAAATTTAGTCCTCCTGACCCACTTAGACCGATTCTGAGGCACGTCCTCTAACACCTCAAACCACTGATCACAGTTTTCTCACAGACCCCGACCAAGCAGTTTGTACTTAATATCAAGGCCCAAACTAACAGTCAATTAGTTATTGAGTTGATTTCATATATTTGTTCAACCGCTCCTAGGTTTTTTTCTAGTCTGATCCTACATCAACTACAATTTCCCGTTGAAATGGTAGCTGGGTCTCAATGGATGAGTATTCATTTTAAATATAATCTAAAATATAATACTCTACTGAAATCTAAACACCAATAATAAAGACAACAGAATCATGTAGTTCATACAGTTGAAACTATATTGATGCACTACGAAAAATAAGAAAATTTGAATGTAGGGACACTCTGAATTCGAGGACTAATAATACTACTCGATGGCTCAAACTTATTTAGGTGAAGCGGGGCAAAAACCTGAAAGTTAAATGTCTTAACTCTTGGGGACATAGGATCGCTAATATCGAAGTTAAATGGTAGGTCATGCACGTGAGACTAAGTCACTTTACCTAGTGATTTAGCCCTAATGACTAGAATATATAACTTAAAGTAATGCACATCACGGAAACCTCTACCAAGAGATAGTGTAGTGGACAACACTCACAAAGATGTTTGTAAGTAGTATGTGACGGGACGCGGAGTCAAGTTTCAACAATTTTCGGACAGAGAAAAGTTTCAATGCATCCTAAGCACGGTGTTAGCAGAACACTGAGGGGCCAGTCGAGAAGACAGTTCGGATTGTATATATATATATATATATATATATATATATATATATATATATATATATATATATATATATATATATATATATATATATATATATATATATATATATATATATATATATATATATATATATATATATATATATATATATATATATATATATATATATATATATGTAAAAATTCCTTCGATAGACATACATTCCCCCAGCTTATTATCGTTTTTTACAATAGCATCCGGATGATTATTGATACACTTTGAAGGGTTTCGATTACTGTAACTTCACATTTTATAGTCCGGTTTTCGAGATGTGACTATCCTGCATAGGATTTACTGCAACTTTGCACAGACCACAACCTGTTTCTGGCTAGCACTAACTTTCGGCACAGTCATCGCCGATGTGCCACCTGGCGTCCTCCCTCTGCATCCCGAGCCTGGACTCAGATTGATCACATCGCGATCAGCTACCGCTGGCGTGGTTGTGTTCAAGACTGCCGCTCCTTTTGGAGTGCCTACCTGGACTCTGATCATGCCTTGGTCTGCAACAATCTTGCCTTACTTTTCAGTGGACAACGAAGTGACCGCCATCAACGGATTGATATTAGCAAGCTGGTTGCAACTTCTGTTGCAATTAAGTACCGAACCGAGCTAGCCTCTAGGCTAGCTACCATTCCACCGAAAGGTATAGATGAGCATTGGTTGCAATTGCATGACGCCATGAAAGTGGCGGGTACAGTCAGTTGTGGGTTCGCGAAACGTCCCGCTTATAAGCACAGGGTTTCTTCTGGTTCCTTACAACTCATCGAAGCCCGTCGGTCTACTCCGGGTGACCGTGAGTTTGACCATAAACGAAGGATGTTACGTAAGGAAATTGGGCAAAGCTTGCGTAAGGACCGAGAAGCCTGGTGGTCGGAGCGTGCTAATGAGCTGGAAGCAGCAGCTGCATCTGGTAACTACCGGAAGCTCTTCCAGCTCATCCGAGCCACTGGCAGCAAGACGTCTGGTGTGAGTGAAACAATCTGCGAGGATGATGGGATTCCAATCACTAACATCCATCGACGTCTTGGACGATGGGCAGAATTTTTCGAAGGGCAGTTCAACTGGCCTGCGGCTCCGGCAACATCGGTCAGACTGTCCTGCCTCCCATGGCCGGTGACGACTGATCCACCAAACGAGGAGGAAGTCCGCAAGGAACTCCAACTCTTGAAGCGTTACAAATCACCTGGCCCAGATGACTTACCTCCGGCTCTTTTTAAAGATGGTGGTGACTTTTTGACTAAGGAATTGACGACGTTGTTTACAAAGGTTTGGGAACTAGAGAGTGTACCAACGTCATGGAATGAGTCGATAGTTGTCCCTATCTTTAAAAAGGGTTCACGTCGTTCCTGCAACAACTATCGGAGGATAAGTCTACTTCCGATTGCGTCCAAGCTATTGGCTTCCGTCATACTTCGTAGGTTGTTCAAAACCCGAGAAAGATTGACTCGCGAGGAGCAGGCTGGTTTTCGTTCTGGTCGAGGATGTATTGATCGTATCTTCACCCTCCGCCAAATCTTAGAACACCGTCATATTTATCAGAGGCCAACAATCGTAGTGTTTCTTGACATCAGGGCTGCCTTCGATTCGTTGGATAGGACTGTTCTCTGGGATTGTCTATTGAAGACGGGTGTGCCTGATAGGTTCATTAACATCCTAAAAGCCCTATATACAAACACCTTGGGTAGAGTGAGGGCATACAACCACCTCTCTCAATTGTTCCATTCGAGTAGTGGGGTTAGGCAGAGTTGCCCAATCTCACCATTCCTCTTCAACTTTACCATCGATGGCATTCTGGAAACAGCTCTGATGAATGTAAGTAATGGTGGTGTGGATTTGTTGCCTGGAGAAAGACTTCTCGACCTTGAGTATGCGGACGATATTGTCTTACTGTGCGATAATGCCCAAGGCATGCAATTCGCACTTAATCAGTTGGCAATCAGTGTTCATAAGTATGGTATGTGCTTTGCACCTTCGAAGTGCAAAGTACTTCTACAAGACTGGCAGGATTCCAATCCTGTACTCACCCTGGATGGTGAGCAGATAGACGTAGTCGAGAAGTTCGTGTATCTGGGTAGCTGCATAAGTGCTGGTGGAGGTGTGAGTGATGAGATCAATGCACGTATAGTGAAAGCCAGAGCGGCTTATGCCAATCTGGGCCACCTTTGGCGCCTTCGTGATGTTAGTCTGGCTGTAAAAGGTCGGACCTACAACGCGTCGGTGAGAGCAGTTTTGCTCTATGCTTGTGAAACCTGGCCTCTCCGAGTTGAGAACGTTAGACGATTCTCTGTGTTCGATCATCGCTGTCTCCGAAGGATCGCTGACATTCAGTGGCAACACCGTGTCAGTAATGCAGAGGTTCGGCATCGTGTGTTCGGGCACAGAGATGATAATTCAATTGGTGTCACCATCTTGAAACACCGACTTCGGTGGCTTGGACATGTTCTACGAATGTCGTCCCAGAGAATTCCACGTCGTGCATTATTTGCCGACTCTGGGACTGGTTGGAAAAAGCGGAGAGGTGGTCAGTGCATGACATGGTGTCGTGGTATGAAAGAAAGCTGCAAAGGACTGGCTTCTGTCGGTCCTTCACGACTCCCTGGTTGGGGTCTGAGAGATGGTGCTACACAGTGGCTAGAGACGTTATCAGATATGGCCCAGAATAGAAGCCAGTGGCGATCCAGCTGTAACCTTCCTTTACTTTCTTCATAAAAAGTGGTTGTGTCTCCCTTACTTGAAAGATTTCTTCTGATTGTACCTTTCCGTTCCCTCGTTACTACCACACTACCTTACACCAATCTCTTCATTATCCTTCTCTTTTTATTTTGTGCTCCTTAGTTTTTTTTCTATCTCTTCGAATTTTCATTGATTTGTGTTGCGCATATATATTGGCGCTCTCTTGTACCAATATTTATGTGTTCAAATAAATAAATAAATAACAGGATTTACTGTACTAATATATTTGCTCTTCTACGAAACTCTATAACTCAACAGGTTACTGAAATGTATTGTGACTCGAAATATTAGATATATGACCTCACGTTTACAAACATTTTGAAGTGGAAATAACATTTAGGCCATAAATAAATTGGAAGGAGTGATTTAGCTATGACCTATCGATACGATGCTGATCGACTAATAACCAGTTAAATATACATCGTCGAAGTAATGAACTACTACGAGTGTAAGCTTTTACATTCTTCAATAATCTGGACAACGCTATGTAGCTAGTAGTACTCATTTGAACAAAAATTGGAGTTGAAGTGCGAGTGGTGTCTTAGCAGTTGAAGTGTCCGATTTATGCCACTAAGCTCCTGGTTCAAAATCCGCTCCACCTACTTCGGTTCGATCGATCGGGCAGTATCATTAGCCTTCACACTTAAACAGTGGGTTACACCCAAGAATCTGGTGAGTGACTTTTTTGTTTATATTGTAATGATGAGTTCAACTTCAAAGGAGCTAGATCTTTTCAGTACCCTACGAAAGTATCATGAATGATATCCAGCTATCCACACCAAACGTCAGATGAAAAATCATAAAACCAATCTAAGTTAACGACAAAATTCACTAACGTCTTGGAGGTCCAAACAGAATGACATCCAAAGCACGAAGCATTAATTTCTTCTTGTGTATCGGATTCTGAATCCCCAGGACATCGGTTAAGTAGCTCATATTTTGCATAGCCAAGCTGTAAAAATGATAAAGAAAAATATTCTGATCTATGTCATATCAGCTTGAAAACTAATCAAGTCCAATTTGATCTTACATAAACTACCACATATAATTATTGTAGGGGACAAACGGAAAAAATCTGCTTCATATGAAGTAAGCAATTGTCATTTGTTCTCAGTTAAATTAAATACTGATTGGTTGTCAACAAAAGTTCACAGAATAAATATTTTTAAATTAGACCCATTATCAAACAACTTACAACAGAACTGTAATGTGTTTTTTAAAAGTCAGCAAAATTAAAACAGCTAGAATAAAAACTACTTTGAGATAATAAAAACATACGTTGATACAATATTTGAGACAGTCAACAATTAGTATGCTGACAATAAAATCAAGATTGTTTTTCGACCTCTTCGAAATGTAGTATTTTGGTCATCAAAGAGGTTTAAAAGTGTCACTTTACACTAAAATTACAATGATTGATCATGTATGTACATGTTTAATGGAAATAACACATTTTCTAAATATATTTTAAACCGAATGGTAAATATGCCAGACTTTGAGTTACTTGAAGGTCAAGAAAGATATTTCCTTAAAGTAAACAATATGAGAAGGATTCGAGTATTAGATTATCGGTGTTTTCATATACAATATTCGCGTTGAAGGCGCTAGTTCATCCTACAATCTTGAGCACAAAACACTTAGTTTGTACAAAATGGTAATCCGAAATTAATAAACATGGAGGTTGCTCTATTTGAACAACATAAACTTGACAAACAACTCATGCCGCTAAATGAGGCCAACTTGAAGTGATTGTTTCTCCCGCAATTAATAACCCAACAAATATTTCTACACAACAACGATTACGAGAAATGTTGGGCGAAATTCATGAAGATTATGAAGATCAGTGTATATTATTTTAAAGAAATGTGTTCGAATTATTGGCAAAGTCTGAAATTCTAATTCCACAGTAAAAACCTGCGTCAAAGGCAAGACTGATTTACTATCCTACAACAATTACATGAAGAATAAAATGGAGAAAACAGTTCTCATTTGCACTCATAATAAAAATAATACACAGATTTTTTAATGTAAATACAATAATGACGCAAAATAAGATGGATTTTAAGAGGGCACTGTGCATACGACTGTAAAGACATACTGACCACATGATTCCTGCACATAAATAATGAAATATAAGTCAAGATGAAATTTCATCCAAATTATACTTTGTAAAAAAAATTAATATTGGAAATTTACCGTGGTAATGAACGACCATCTAAATTATGTTGACGAAATAAATCAACGTACTGAGGGAGATCCACCAGACTAACTAACCATTGGGTAGTATCTCTCACAGTCCAGTTGAATGCTAGAGGTAAAAACAGAAATAAAGAATATCGGACATATTAATAATGACTGCAATAAGCGTTATATTTACTAAAGAAGAAAAAAGGAATATGGATGTCTAACCGTTATGCTGATCATTTTTCTTTACAGAACAACGAAGAACCTTCAAATATTCGTAATTATGCAATAAGAACGTTCTATTAAAGTGAACATAAATTAGAATAAATTCCGAAGTCGACTCACTATCTCCAATAATTAAGCTGTATGATAAAGACTGTCAACTGAAGTCGTTTTACACTTAACTTTTAAATCTTTGTTAGACACTTAGTGGAATATATCAACCAGACCTCTTAAATGATTGAAATTATTGTAAAGAATGTAGCTAATTAATACAACTGAGAAAATTAGATATCTTTGGTGACTTTATTGTATTATTCTACTTGTTATACAATGTTTGTGAAATCCTAACAATGAAACCCGACGTAACTTTTCGATCAGAAACCACTGTCCTCCAGAGGGATTTACAGACAAATATCCAGTAACTTAGCCCCTATACTGGTAACCTAATATTAAAACACAAAAATACTGGCGAAGTAGTAATTGATTTTTTCACCTATTCAGAGTATGATTTTAATGACAGAAAAACATTAAACAAATAGCAACATAAATGATCATGACCTCAAAGGAGAGGAATAAAGGTGATAATAAGAGTACGATTATTTAGTAAAAATTTAATACATTGTAAACAGTTAGAAAGACAACGCACAACTCAACAAATAAGGCAACTGTTAGAGAAGTAGGACCATTTCAACAATTCTACCAATAAAGAATTAAAAGAGCCAAATTACCAGGATTATTTCTCCACATCTGCCACAAGTCTGTAAGACTAATAAGAGGATCATCGCTGTTTAACATACGTGATTTCTTGGCAGCATCGCCCGAATTGAATTCTTTCCTCAAAAACTAAAATCAATAGTAGTTTGAATTTTAAAAGGTGCATACAGTTTCAGACAGTAAAAACATGTGAAAAAACTGTAGCTAAATCGAAAAGCAAACATCTGAAAGCTTAGTAGAATTTATTTATTCATTTATTTATTTATTTGAACACATAGTAAAAGGACTACACAGGATGTAGTCTATAGCAAAAGAGCTTAGACGAAGAATTACCCTTAGTCGTTAACATTACACCCAATAATAACACGCACTGATTAACATTTAGTGAGACATTTGTACGCGTCTTACGGGATTCGTGATAAAATGTAAACCTACACCTCAAACTTATTTGCAAAACATACGTATTATCTAGAGAACTGTATAGATGCATTAGAACGAGTGAAGAGATCAGTCAGTCAGTCAGCTACAACGTAGGACCCGGCACATATATGCATCGGTCCAAGTTGCCATACCTCATTAACACAACAAGATGGACACCGGATTCATAAAAGTAGTTAATTCAGAGGTGGTAATATATAAAAGAAAGATTGCAATAAGGATATAGTACAGGAAGAAAGAATTAGCTCGTAGAAAGAAAGATATGAAGCGATTTTAATCTCTTAGTTTAAGGGAAGACAGATATAGATATACTGTGCTGTGCATTAATGAGTACAATCCTTTTGGGAGATTAATGCAATAGCTTGAAAACCCAAAGTTTCCAACAAAATAGAAAGTAATCAAAGATCATAATATGTTAGGAAGAACGAGAAATAAGTGAATAAAGAACATACATTCCACAATAATCTTACACATATACATCAACGTATTCGAAATCAACTAACGGTTCTATGTCTCTGATTAACGATTTATAACAATTTCGCCAGCTTCACAAAAGAAGCCTGCTAGTATCTAAATTGTCCTGATCGAAAGTTAAACTTATTTTAATTTTCGTTTTTATTACAGCAAGACAAAAGAATTAGCTACAAAGATAATGTAATTCACCAAACGTATGCTCATATGCTTGAGTTTAAGTCTGACTTGTGTAACGACTAGAGGTGCTGCTTGATTTTCCAAGTTGAAGTGGATGGATGTTAAAACCTGTAATCACTTAATAGTTTGAAACTGGATGCTTTAACCACTACGCCACCCCTAGAAAGTCTGTTACTTCAGTTTAGTTAAATAAAACGGTAGAACTAAGAAATATTGAGAAATTGACGAGTTACATATGGTGTACTAGACATATAAAACCTTGAAACGGACCTACATCAACTTTATTACGTACCTATTCATTCCAAGCCAGTTTAAATGAGGTCAAATTTGATCAATGGTATAACCAGTCAACATAAAACGAATTATGAACAATTACTAGTTGTCATTTAGGATATATGCAAAAAACTAAACCACCTTTTAAAAAACCCCACCAAGATAGCTCGAAGGGAAACAGATCGTAGGTAATCAAATAAAAAGGCAACGATCAATAAAAGTTCCTGGGTCCAGGGTTGCATCATGACACTAAATTTCGATCTCCTTTCAATATTTTTTAGATGCTGCAACGCAGAGTTTGAACAACTTAACTGGTATGTCTGCGGGGGTCAGTTAGTTATAAGCAACCCAGAAGTTGCCACAAACGCCCGTCGATCTCGGTTGCCACACCGCATCAATGCAACATAAAATTACCAAGACGCATACCAAAGTAGCAATAACAGCATTAATGGTGAAAAATATTTGGCATAATAATCTGAGAACGAATTAGTGGAATAAAAAAATATGAAGTGGTCTCTAAACTCGGCATAGAAGTACAGAAAAAGAGTGGGTGCATCTGCGCTACTGACTAATAAGGAACCACGTCACCTAACGTCTCCAACCACTATTCAAAGCTGTCGCAGACTCCGACCAGGTAGTCTGCATCTACTGAAATGGCTCATACCAACAGTTAGACTTCATGAACATATCCTATATCTAAACTCCAACCCTATTCCTATACAGCCAACATGACGTCGAGGTAGGTTTTTTAAACTAACCAGCTACTTGAATGTAGGCCAAATTATAAGTGGATGACAATAATACTACTCGGTTGCCTAAACTAAGTTACATGAAAAGGAGTTTGGACCTGGGATATAGTTGTTAAAAGTAAGACGCCTTAACCACAAAGTCATTCCCCACTAACTACGACTATCCAGTTTGATCTGAGCAGGTTCATTGTACTAAACAAAACATGTGCCTCAAAGAAAAGTCTATAACCTTGTACTCAGTGAATGAGTAGGACCAGTTTAAAAGAGGACATAATTTAAGAACTAGCCTCAGAGACAGATAATTAGTCTCCTTTTTTCTTGTAAACTGTCATTTATAGGCATACAGAAATCAAATGACAGCCAAGTACTTCCTAATATATGCCCATTCCAGATGCGAAATACATGTTTTTAAGTAATGAATAAACCAAGTAGTTTGTAGTTGTATATTTAAGTTAGGTGCAATACTTCAATATGAAGAATAATGTACTTAATTTAAATGCAACCACTTTATGGAAATAATCAAAGCATCGCGGTCTAGAGTACTATACATTAAGGCAACGAAAAGGTGATTATTTCCAAGTAAGGAACACAAGCTTCGAAATTCGCAGAATACTACAGTTTTAAAACACGCAACTCGATTTAGTTACATGTGAAGCCACTTACAAATGTTCTGACTTAATTCTTTATAGTTCTCCTAACAGCGAAAAACAAACTGCAACATGACAAGTAAGCACATAAATTTTTACTTCTGCTGACCCTTGGAATTAATTAGTCAAAAATATAAGTTAAAATTTCACGAGTGTAGACTGAGTGCTTTTTATTTCCTACGAGGCTTTTGTAGTCGTATAAAACAAAGTAAACACATTCTGAATTACCCTACCTTTTCAGTTTCGAAATGGTCGACTTCTCCATTCTTATCACCATCAAGATTTCGATGTAAATCCTCAATCGCTTCATAAGATAATATCTTTGTGAAACAAGACAAGATTTCTTCAGTCGCACCGCATATATCACTACACACAGCCAAAGAAAATACTGTTAAAAATAATTATTGACTGAGGCTTACAACTGCAAGTGCAAAATATGATACCAAAAATATAACAAATCATGACTAAGGTAGCAACACCTTGCTGTTTTTGCTGTTTCTAAAGATGTTTAAAGGTGGATGATCACAGTGACAGCAACTGATTCACGTAGAAACACAATTTTACAAGTGGGATTAAGGACGTTCACGACGTAGTTGCATCCATCCGAAGAAGATAAACTGTAACGGCGACATTTAAAATACGAACGGATGATAAATTCATTGAATTGATATAACAAAGCTATGAAATGAATGTTCATTCATTGTATTTTACTAAACAGTCAAACTTTTTCAATTGTATACGACAATTTTGACTGAAATTTAACCATATGTTTGCAGCAATTTTTTTTATTTAATCGATCGTTCTCGTGTTAATATCCATCACCCGCACTATTTTAAAAGTATAGGAGTGTTTTTTCGTTGAGTAAATTTCATTGTTTTGGTCGATTTATATGTACCAATACCGAAGTAGTTAGTTCCCGGCACTTATGAGCACATTATTACTGTCGTATTTATTAGCACTATTGATTCTAACGATTTGCAGTTTTCCACTTTTTCGATCATTCATTTCTGTTGTCTCTCGGTATCATCGTACATAGTTTCATTTTTGAAAACCTCTTTTTGAAAGCTGGACAGTGCAAGGTTAGCAACTGTCAGAGCCCAGACTGTCAACATTCCGTTGGAAGCTGCATGCAGCGCGATGAGTGTACAGGATGGTAGCACGAAGTTTTCATGAATCTAACGTCTACGGCTTTCAAACAATCAGGCAAAAGTGGTTGCGTCTGGGTTTTTCCGCAGTGCTGCTCGGACGCAAATAACTTGCTAACAGGGGCCATTTCTATGGTAGATGCTGCGAAAAACGAGACCGAGACACATCGAACAGAACTCGCTCTGTTTATACACAAATTGATGTGAAGTCGCCTCAACTAAGGTTGTTATTGGTCCACTTAAATGGATCTAAAGATAAAAAGACTGAATTCAAAGAAGTTTATCCTAAATCAAGGCTCAAGGTAGGAAGATTTTCTGTCCCTTCGTTCTCCAAATGGTAGCCAACAAGAAGCGCCTAGATAACTAATAACAAGGCTAGATTTGTTTTTAACAGGAATCGCGATCTGACTGCCCTACCCGTTCATAATCGTTCGGAATCTCGTAGTGTGTTTGGTTCGACTGTCGTCGCTACCCCAGCGAAAGTTGTTGAATGAGTACTGGTCGAAAACTAGAGACGACATAATGCTATTAGAAAAAACTCTCAAAAGTAGTCGAGAAATTGAAGACTTTTCATAGTGACAGATCAATTATCTTTCACGGAATCAAGGAGTGAAGGCTAAGAACCTAAAGCCCCTTTTTGAGCATGACATTGTGTTACTAAATCAGCTGATGCCCCGAATGCCCTGATACGGTCAAGGGTGTGGATAGTTTACTCTCCCACCTATATTGCTCTCACATGTCACGCATATACAGCAACAGTCAGGGAAATCCTATTCACTACCTTCTCGTGGCGGGGGTGTTGTTTACGAAATTGAGAGGACGACATGCAATTGTTTTGCACTTTAACCAAGTTAGTGGACATGGAGGATTCAAATAGGGGAGTTGGAGAACTTTGATTTTAAACCGATAATTCACATGGGCCCCCAGATCCTTGGGGATCAAGAGGCGTGTGAACCTGTTGTTTGTCCTCGGCTATTATGGGACTTCGTCTCCTGTAGTTTTCCCACAGCCTTGTGGATCAGATCTTTAGGTCGAAGGCCCCGGCTGTGGACTTCTGAGAAAACCACTTCCTCTGGCTTGCGTACTTGGGTAGTTTCACAGCCCACACACAAATCAACTGACTTGTGTAGCGCTTGCGTATTTAGTGCACGTTTGTACCAATATTTATATGTTCAAATAAGTAACAGATCACAATATCCCCGGAGTCACTGTCCTTAAGGTGCATACACAAGGTAGCCAAATTACTTGAGAACATACTCAAATTAAAGTTGCATTTAAATCTCTCAATGAACGGGACTTAATACTACTGAAGTGACACAAACTAATGGGGCCAGGTATTTTTGTCCGTGAAGACTTGCCGCTTGCAAACTGTGTGGAAAACGAGAAGCTGAAGAAGAACTAAAACCGAAGTTAGATGCTGGAGAAAAAGACCTGAAATGTTTAAATTTTCGGGTTGTGAGGCCTCAACAGAGAATGATGCCGAAGCTACTATGGATTCAGCACGGAGTGATCATGCAGTTTGGAAGTTCGATTCCATAAAGTTTTCAAAATCAAGCGTGCATCAGCACAACCCAGACACAGCGTCTGGAAATCAAATATAAAATACATTATACACTTTGAATCTTCAGTAGATTGGACAATAAAGTCAGCGTCTCCAACTTAGAGAACTTGGGATGTATTTCGAAATTTGCACTCAAAAGTTACTGCACCCCACAATCTTTGAACTCACCGAAGGCTCTTGGAAACTCCTCACCATGGTTTTGTAGAGAGGTTCGCACCCTTCTCCGTAAGAGGGAGAAAATGTGGGAAACATTTAGGTTACTGTGTACTGATGAGACAAAATCTCAACGTCGAGAGGCTAGAAATATTTGTGTCTCGACACTTCGTACGTCTAGAAGATTGTACGAAAAAATCTAGGAATATGTGGAATGCCCTAAACACTTGTATTTTTATGTAAACCAAAGGACTAAGAGAAGAGGAAATATCCCAGCTTCACAAGGACACAGTAATACCTCATCTTAAGTGGAGGACGATTATGTCAAAGCTCAAATATTCTGAAACGACCGTAGCACTGTATGTACTGTAGAGACACTCTTCCCATCAGTTCATAGGAATCCCCTCGCACATATTGGACAACGTGACAAACGAAAAACTCGATGTCTTTGATTTGCCAAATAAGGCAAACCCACGGGTTCCGATGAACTACGCTCTAGGTTACTAAAGAAACTAGCTAACTTCGTTGCGAACTGCTTGAGTATATGTTTTGACTTATCCGTAACCCAGGGTAGATTACCAAAACACTGGAAGGACACCACAGCAAACCACGTCTTCAAGAAAGGAATAATTGATGTCACCCTTTGCATATGCGTTTTCGTTGGCATATCATGAGAGGGTTGAAAAATTTATTAAGAAAAAAAAATGAAGTGAAGGTACTTTTAAACAATAGAATTCTAGCGCGTAAATATGATATGAATGAACAAAGAACTGTATAAATGGACGTCGTTCAAAAAGAAGCTGAGAGCATAGGATTGCGTGAAGTATTAGTATATAGTACTGAAAACAGTATTCTGATACACAAATGGCTATCTCCCTTTTTTGTCGAAGCATAATAAACTAGCATTAATATCACTGGTTCGTGACATCACCGTAATTTAACAAATTGTTCTTCCCTACAAAAATGGGTGGATCAAAGTTATTTCTCCACCAAGATGTTTGTTGGTCAATAACGCCACTTTCCCTCCTTTTGTGATATTAGGTTCTTTCAGTTCGTGGTGTATATGAATAATGCTTTATTTTAAGCTCCTTGTTGCAATACGCTGTCTCTACTAGTCCCATGTTACAAGCAAATCAGATGTTTAAAGATTCTGTAATAATAATAATAATAATATATATTTCTGCATGTGCAGGTACACACCGTTTTTACAGGCATGATCTATAAATTACAACATTTGTTGGTTCACAGAATGTTTCCCAACTTATTAAGTTTATAGTTGTTATAAAGTGAAATCGTAGAGCGCTTGCTGTAAACTATGACCTTGAGAGGACGCGTACATCAAGTTTGTTCCAAACGTCAGAGGTGTCATAGCCGTGCTCTCAGAGCAAGATTCTGAAGAAAAAAGAGAAACAGAAGAGCAGCAAGGCACTTGGATATGAACGCAAAACGTTGCTTAACATAGTGTAGTAGAACGGACAGAGGTATAATAAATTCGAATAAATTCATATTATATCTTGTTAGTGAAATGAAGTCAGAGGCTCCATATTATAGAATGTACTAATAAAGAACAATGAGTTGTGATGTTTAACAAGTTGGAGTAAGCTCACATGAAGGAAAGGAAGTCAAGGCTGTTACTAGGAAAGCGGTTTATAAGAAGGGTGTGTATATAGAGGGTGAAGTGTTAAGAATATTAATGATTACATCTTTTATTGTTTAACTTTTTTTTTCATTTTTTTGTTTTTCCAATGCCAGCCACATAATCCTAGTGTAAAAATCCGAGTTAGCATGTTATGGGTTGTCTTAGTAGAATAGCTAATCCAGCATAATATTGGAAACATGAGTTTGAGTGGTGAGCGTAGGAAAACAATCTATATCACAGATTGATTGAATTATTCTCAGTCATGAGGAGCCTGATACATACAAAATGTTCTGTCCCCACAAGCATGGGTGGATTGAAGTTATCGCCCTCACCATCAATGCTTGCTGGTCAGTAACTCCACCCTCCCTCCTTTTGTGATGTTAGGCTCATTTAGCATTATTTTTGTATATACGTCATTCCTCGCACAATCCTCTGTTTCAAAAACTGTTGGAAAGCACTATTTCTATAAGTACCATTTTACAAGCTTATCAGACAGTTACAAGCTATGGACTGTGGGTAAAGCATCGATGCAGTGCCTCTGTTGACTATAGTATAAAGTATAGTTTGCCAATCAGAGTATAAGCGTTAAGAAGGGTATATTGTAGGATAGTTGTTTATTTAAGCAGGCGGAAAAAGTATAGAAGTATATGAGTTGTGGATATGAGAACGAGTGGAGAAATAATACTAATTGCTAGTCAACATAGTGTACTGAAGAGTAAAAAGTTAATACAGGATAAACAGGAAGGGACTCACAGTGACTTAGTGCTGATGTTATTTTCTGTTGTCCTAACCAGTTGATTGGTAACAGGCTCCATAGATGCAAGACCACTGGAAGTAGGCAGCCGATTGTGCGGTCCTCTTGACGTTTTAGGGTGGTAGTGAGTGTCCCTTATCGACCGAGTTTATTTTAACAGTAATGATAGGTCCATTGAGTTACCTGTCTACTTCAAGTGAAGAAATGGGG